TTTGTTACATATGTATACTTGTGCCATGTTGGTGTGCTGCAGCCATCAACCTGGCCAGCACCCATCAACTCGCCATTTACACCAGGTATAACCTCAATGCAATCCTCCCCACTCCCCCTCCCCCATGATGGGCCCCGGTGTGTGATGTTCCCCTTCCCAAGTCCAAGTGATCCCACTGTTCAGTTCCCACCTATGAGTGAGAACATGCGGTGTTTGGTTTTCTGTTCTTGTGATAGTTTGCTGAGAATGATGGTTTCCAGCTGCATCCATGTCCCTACAAAGGACACAAACTCATCCTTTTTTATGGCTGCATAGTATTCCATGGTGTATATGTGCCACATTTTCTTGATCCAGTCTGTCACTGATGGACATCTGGGTTGATTCCAAGTCTTTGCTATTGTGAATAGTGCCGCAATAAACATACGTGTGCATGTGTCTTTATAGCAGCATGATTTATAATCCTTTGGGTATATACCCAGTAATGGGATGGCTGGGTCATATGGTACATCTAGTTCTAGATCCTTGAGGAATCGCCATACTGTTTTCCATAATGGTTAATTTCTTATTTTTGAGACAGGTTCTCAATCTGTCAGCCAGGCTGGAGTGCAGTAGCACAATCACAGCTCACTGCAGTCTCAAACCCCACTGCAGCTCAAGTGATCCTCTGACCTCAGCCTCCCAAGTAGCTGGGACTACAGGCACACACCACCACATCCTGCTAATCTTTTTTTTTTTTTTTTTTTAGAATGGGGGTCTTCCTATGTTGCCCAGGCTGGACTTGAACTCCTGGCCTCAAGAGATCCTCCTGCTTTGGCCTCCCAAATTACTGGGATTGCAGTTGTGAGCCCAGTCTGTACCCTATTGTTTCCTATGTTATTTGAGAGACAAATGTAGAAAACAATAATTATAAAGTATGCCAATGGGCATACAATGTATAAAAGATGCAATTTGTGACAATAACAAAGCTGTATAGGAATAGATTTTGTGTATGCTACTAAAACTTAGTTGATATCAATTCAAACTGCATTTTTATATATTTAGGGTGTTTTTTCTAATCACCAGAGTACCCACAAAAAATAATTAAAATATATACAGAAAAAAACACTGAGGAAGGAATCAGAATGGTACACTTTAAAAAACACGACAGACACAATCAAACACAGAAGACAGTATTTGGGGAACAAAAAGTATATGAAACTTGTAGAAAACAATAGCAAATGATAGAAGTAACTGCTTTCTTATCAGTCATCACTTTAAATGTTAAAAAAATTAAACTCACCATTAAAAGACAGAGATTGGCAGAATGGATTTTAAAAAAACATGATCCACTTATGTAGTATCTACAAAGGACTCATTTTGAGTTCAAAGAGACAAATATATTGAAAGTAAAACAATGGTAAAAGATATTCCATGCAAACAGTAACGAAAGGAGAACTGGGGTGGCTATGCTAATATCAGTCCAAATAGACTTTAAAATGAGGGATATTATAATATATTGATAAAAGGGTCAATTCATTACCAAGATGTAACAATTATAAAAATATACTCACCAAACAGCAGAGCCCCATAATATGTTAAGAAAGCATTAATAGAAATAAAGGAGAACTAGTTCTACAATAATCATTGGAGATTTAATAACCCACTTTCAATAATAGAACAAAACAAAAAAAAGAGGAACAAATAATAGAACATTTAATAGCAGATGAATAAGTAAATAGAGGACTTGCAGTGAGCCAAGATCACGCCACTGCACTCCAGCCTGGGCAACAGAGCAAGACTCCGTCTTAAAAAAAAAAAAAAAAAAAAAAATTAAAGGCCAAATACAACCTACCAAAACTTACAGGATGCAGCAAAAGCAGTGCTCATAGGGGAATTATAGTTGTAACTGCCTACATTAAAAAAGAAGAAATATCACAAATCAATAACCTAACCTTACTCCTTAAAGAATAGGGAAAAAGAAGAGTAAACTAAGGACAAAACTGGTAAACTGGTAGAAAGAATAGTCTCTACAATAAAAGGTACAGGACAACTGGATATGCACAAGCAAAAGAAAGGAATTAGACCCCCATCTCATACCATATACAAAAATTAAGTTGCAATGATTGGCTAATGACCTAAATATAAGAACTAAAACTATAAACTCTCAGAAGAGTTAGGGGTAAATCTTCCTAACTTTGAATTTGGCCATGGAGTCTTAGATATGACATCAAAAACACAAGCAACAAAAGAAAAAAATAAATTGGACTTTCTCAAAATTAAAAACTTTTGTTTGTCAAAGGACATTCTCAAGAAAGTGAAAAGACAACAACAGAATGGAAGAACATATTTGCAAATTATACATCTCGTAAGAGTCTAACATCCAGAATATGTAAAGAACTCTTACAACTCAACAACAAAAAGACAAACAACCCAATTTAAAAATGGGCAAAGGACTTAGACATTTTTCCAAAGATGATAAACAAATGGACAACAAGTACATGAAAAGATGCTCAAGATCATCAGTCATTGGGGAAATGCAAATCAAAACCACAATGAAATACAGCTTCACACCCACTAGAAATGAGTATCATTCTATAACTATGGCTATTAAAAAGGATGAGATGGGGAAATAGCAAGTGTTGGTGAAGATTTCGAAAAATTCAAACCTTTGTACATTCCTGGTGGGAATGTAAAATGGTTCAGACTCTAAGGAAAACAATTTGTTAGTTCCTCAGTAAATTACATATAGAATTACCATATCACCCAGCGATTTCACTTCTAAGTATCTATCCCAAAGATTTGGCAACAGGTATTTTAACAAATACTTGTACACGAATGAATGTTCTAGCAGCCCTATTTGCAATAGCCAAAACCAGGTGGAAACATCCCAAGTGTCCATCAATTGATGAGTGAAAAAAGACAAAATGTGGCATATTTATTCAATAGAATATTATTCAGCCATAAAAAGGAAGTACTGATACATTCTACAACAAGGATTAACCACAAAGGCAACTAAAATGTTCACTTCAAAACTGTTAATTTTACGTTATATGAAATTCACCTCAATGTTTCACAGTGAGCAAGCCTATGCAAACCAACTACTAAAATTCCAAGGAAGTTAAGAGCCCAAAGAGGCTTACATATCCAGTTCCTCAGGAAGAAACTTTCTTTCTTTCTTTCTTTCCTTCCTTCCTTCCTTCCTTTCTTCCCTCCCTCCCTCCCTCTTCCTCTTCCTCTTCTTTTCTTCTTCTCCTTCTCTTTCTTTCTCTCTCTCTTTCTTTCTTTCTTGTTTTTTGAGACAGAGTCTCACTCTGTTGCCAAGGTGGAGTGCAGTGGCATGATCTCAGCTCACTGCAACCTCCAGCTCCCTAGTTCAAGCAATTCTCCTGCCTCAGCCTCCTGAGTAGCTGGGATTGCAGGCATGCACCACCATGCCCAGCTAATTTTTGTATTTTTTGTAGAGACAGGGTTTCACCATGTTGGCCAGGATGGTCTCAATCCCCTGACCTCATGATCCACCCACTTCGGACTCCCAAAGTGCTGGGATTACAGGCATGAGCCACCATGCTCGGCCTCTTCTCTTCTTTTCTCTTTCTTTCTCTTTCTCTCTCTCTCTCTTTCCCTCCCTTCCTCCCTCCTTCCTTCCTTCCTCCCCTTCTTCCTTCCTCTCTTTCTTTTCTTTCTTTCTCTCTTTCCTTCCAGACAGGGTCCCAGGCTGGAGTACAGTGGCATGATCACAGCCACTTGAACTCCTGGCTCAAGCAATCTTCATGCCTCAGCCTCTGTAGCTAGGACTAGAGGCATGTGTCTCCATGCCCAGCTAACTTTTTTATGTTTTGTAAAGGGAGGAGGGGGGTCTCACTATGTTGCTCAGGCTGGTCTTGAACTCCTGGCCTCAAGTGATCCTCCTGCTTTGCCTCCCAAAGTGCTAGGCAGAAACATTTAATAGTGACTTACGAATAGAAACCATGTCTGTGTCTCAGGTAGTGTGGAGACAGGCTGGTAGATCCCCATGCCATTACACCCAGAACCAGGGCTTATATACCATGGGGAAAGGATATACGTGCTACAGAAGGGATGTATAGGACAATTATTCAAGGGCAGGATGTAAGGTAAGTACACGATCCTACACAAGGAACAGTAAGCAAAACAAACAAAAAAACCTTAGAGGCCTTTTTGGAAATGGGCTTAGTCAGAACTCAATATGCAGATCAATATCCAAGATGGAGTTGCTTTAGCCCCCACACTCCACCCCTCTTACTCTCACACACCCTCCTCTTCTGAGCCTTTAGGGAAAGTGCTTGATATTGTGCAACTTTAGCAACAGTGGGTTGGCAAGGGAAAACAGATCAGACCCAGAAGCATTCCAAATTCGGGAGATTCACAGGCTTTGTTTTGTCATCTCTAGTCATTGTGAAATACCGTGACTTTGGTTTTCTTGGAAGAATAAAAATGAGAGATATATAACACTAATAATTTGAATAGTAGAAATATAATGCACACAAGGATTACAATCAAAAAGGGCATGAAGACAATTAAATCTCAGTTTTTCTTTAGAAATGTGTAGCAAGGAAATAATTCAGGATTCAGTTTGAATTATAGGCAAATAATAAAACTCAAAAACAATGATTAACGCTACAATCTAATAATGAGCATACTATAGGTTTCTTCTGAAACATAGTTTTTCTCAACAGTTTTCCCATTTGTACTAAGGATAAGTCAAAGTAGGACCAATTTACTTGTGAAATAAATTAGTCTCATTAACTTGACCTGACTATTTGCATAAAGTGCAGGGAGAATAGGGATTGGCCATATTGGCTCCTTTTAAGATGGCTTCATTCGGACACTTTTCATGAGGAATCTCAGATTAGACTTCTATAAGCCCTGAGGCTAACCAAGTCAAGGGTTCAGTATCCGATTGTGCCTGTCATACCTACCTGAATAGGTGTATTCCTCTCTTCTTGAGGCCCAAAAATAACGTGAGTTCCTGGGCCTGCCAGAAAGTGACATTTTTTACTTACCAGAGGTAGGTTGGCCTTTGTGTGGGGGCTTTATCAGCTCCATAACATCAACTTCATTTCCTCAAAGCAATGTGGTCATATCTGAAAACATGCCACTCCAGTCAAGGCCTTGATAAAAGAACCTGTGTCTCCAATTGTGTCCTGTTACAAAAGAAAACAGATTCTTACTGAACTTATGTAAATAACTATATTCCCATATCATAAGAATATATGAATAGTTTCCAGTTTTGCAGATATCAGGTACAGAGACAGGTAAATTTTGTTCACAACAGTATACTTTACAATTAGAGTAGCAGCCTTCCAAACAGGATATTGTCCTTTCACCTTGGAACTGCCATCCACAAACCAAGCAGCTCTTTGCCAGTCAGGTGACAGCTGTTTATTATACACCGTAGAATCCAGCAGCTCCTCACACAGTTTCAGAGTCAGTCCTAGGGAAAAAGAGGCTCCCTGCTCATATCTCCTCCTTGCATTCTTCAGATAGCATAAATCCTACACAAACCATTCCCATTTTATTAGTGGTACTCTTTTGGGTGCTGCTATTCTCATTAGAGTGTTTCTCTGCCATTCAGACATTATTACTTCAGGTGTCAAGGCCATTTTATGTCCTTGAATTATAGCAGTAGCTTCAGCTAACATCCAATTACAAGGCAGCAAATGCCCCCAAATGAAAATTCTCTAGTGAAGGTGCCCATAGACTTTTGCCATAAGCCCCAATAAACATTCTACAAGGAGCTATCCAGTGGTAATTTGTTCCCTACCAGCACTTCAGCTTCTATTCTACACTTTGTGGGCTTGGTCAGTCTTACGGGTTCCTTCTGAGCATGTCCAATTAATACTGTTCAAAGGGAAGATTTACAAGCTTTCTGCTTCACGGTACCAGGAAGGGAAACATCCTCCAGTCATATACAATGTCCATTCACAGAAAACATTTAGATAAAGGAGACACAGCTACTTTACATAAAGCCTGTTCAAACATTTTAACTCTTAAAATCCTATCGACCTTTACATTTTATGTTGTAGTTCCAGGAACCTTTTTCTCCATCCCTATACCATTTTACCCTTCTTGTGAAAAAGGATTTGAGTTCCCAGCAGTGAGTTGAGCCAAGGGACTTGGGCTCATTGGTCAATCTTTATCTTGATTAACTGCCTCAACATTGCCCCAGACAACTTTTGGTCAGCTTTCTCATTATAATCTTTACCTTCTGATTTTTTCTCTTAAATTTCACAAACCTGGGGCAAATACAGAAAACTGTTTTGGGCCCTATAATGTTTGTAGACAGTTGGGGCTCCCTCTGGTCTACCCAACCCTTGATAGTGTTGTATTAAGACCTTTGTTTTAACCCCATCAATTTCTGTTGTATTTATCCCATTTTAAATAAATATTTAAACATGTTTACCCTGCTGGGATGGGTCCCATGACTCTCCCCTTTCTTTTTCCTTTTAGTTTCACCCTTATCAATGCTTTCTTTTGTGTGTGTGTGTGTGATGGAGTCTTGCTCTTGTCACCCAGGCTGAAGTGCAATGACATGATCTTGGCTTGCTGCATCTTCCACCTCCCAGGTTCAAGCGATTCTCCTGCCTCAGCCTCCTGAGTAGCTGGGATTACAGACGCCTGTTACCACACCTGGCTAATTTTTGTATTTTTGTAGAGACGGTGTTTTGCCATGTTGGCCAGGCTGGTCTCTAATTCCTGACCTCATGATCCACTTGCCTCAGCCTCCCAAAGTGCTGGGATTACAGGCATGTGCCAACGTACCCGGCCTATTCATCTTATTTCTTAGTAAACATTTAAAACCCTTCTGGGTTTAAATGAAAAATTAAATGAAAAATCATATAAATCTACAAGAGCTGCTCCTGTCTATATGTCTGTATGTCAATGTGTTTATACAAGTCATGTGTATGTGATGTTTCACTACCAAAATATATGAAAGAGCTCTAATTAACTGGCCTAAAGAAAAAAGTAAGTGCTTTAATAAAATTTTTCATCAGAAAAATAGAAATTTTAACTCAAATGCTTTTTAGTTCATGTAACTTTAGCAATATTTGGTAAATAAAACTAGTTTTTAAATTACTGATAAAATAAAAACATCTCCAGAATTTAATTTAGACTTTTGATCTAAACTAGTTAGGCAGGTTAAATACTGTGCTAAATGCTTAAAGACATAAAACTTTGCTTCTACTTGTCTATAAACTTATGAACCTCCTACATTTTTCACCAAAAATAAGAGCTACTAAGAGGTAACATTATAATTAATGTATTTAATTAAAACTACTAGATACACACAAAGTGTATTTTAAAAGTAGAATGTGTTTTGGTTAAAAATATGGTTACAAGAAGGCATGCGAATGTGGATTTTTTAAGGGAACATAATTTTTGTCTAGAAGTTCTAAGGATGAATTTGTTTATAAGATTTTATTAAAAGTAGCTTTTGCGTTAATAATATCATACGCAAAGGTAAAATTTGGTTTTCTCTTTTGAGTAATCATCTAAACATTAAGATATAGTGAGCTGGTGGCTCACACCTGTAATCCCAGCTCTGTGGGAGGCCAAGGTGGGTGGATCACCTGAGGTCAGGAGTTGGAGACCAACCTGACCAACATAGAGAAACACTGTCTCTACTACAAAATTAGCTGGGCGTGGTGGCACATGCCTGTAATACCAGCTACTCGGGAAGCTGAGGCAGGAGAATCGTTTGAACCCAGGAGGCGGAGGCTGCGGTGAGTCGAGATCGTGCCATTGCACTCCAGCCTGGGCAACAAGAGTGAAACTGAATCTCAAAAAATAAAAAAATAAATAAAATGATATAGTAAAATATTTTTGTTTGCCTTTTGAATAAACTGCAAAAAAAAAAAAAAAAGAAGGAGAGGACAACTAGATTCAGTTGGCCTCATGCTGACTTTACTAGGTCTTATAGTTTGAGAAACTGAGTCTCCTCTGTATCAAAGAGTAAAGGTTTTTGCTTTTTAAAAATCTTTGAATTATCATTTTGGCTACATTGAATGACTTATTTTACAGTAACCTGTCATCCGGTTTTGTGACATCATGTGGTATTTTTTTTTTTTTTTAGACAGAGTCTCGCTCTGTCACCCAGGCTGGAGTGCAGTGGCGCGATCCCGGCTCACTGCAACCTCCGCCTCCTGGATTCAAGGGATTCTCCTGCCTCAGCCTCCCAAGTAGCTGGGATTACAGGCATGTGCCACCACGCCTGGTTAATTTTTTTTGTATTTTTAGTAGAGCTGGGGTTTCACCATATTGGCCAGGCTGGTCTCAAACTCCTGACCTTGTGATCCACCCGCCTCGAAATCCCAAAGTGCTGGGATTACAGGTATGAGCCACTGCGCCCGGCCCTGACATCATGTGTTTTAAACCTTTGATATTTGACAAACTTTCCAAAATCAAATTCCAAATTTAGTCATTAAACCTCATTATCTTTTTTAGATAGTAGTCCCCTGCAGTCCAAAAGAGACATATCTGGCTTATTTGAGATGTTCAATCATACAAGAACCATTGTCAAATATAAATTGGTATTTAATTTTCTTTGGGTTATGTTTATATAAATGTGTTATTAGTATATGTTCCAAAAGTGTATGAGATTCCTATAATTCTGATATGCTTTAGTACATATTATCAATAATAATAATGATCATTATGTGAAATTGTTTTATACCACAGAACTAACCAAACATCTTGGTCAGTTGTATCTTTAACTATGGCTGTTCTAAGACTTTTGTCATCCACAATTATTTGTTTTACCTTGATTCTTCTCAAAAAGTGGTTTCTACAAAGCAAAAATCTAAAATTTGCTTCTTGGTCTGGTGCAGTGACTGATGCCTATAATCCTAGCACTTTGGGAGGCCAAGGCAGGTGGATCACTTGAGGCCAGGAGTTAGAGACCAGCCTGACAAACATGGCGAAACCCTGTCTCTACTGAAAATACAAAAATTAGTCAGGCACAGTGGTGAACACCTGTAGTCCCAGACACTTGGGAGGCTGAGGCACCAGAACTGGACCCAGGTGGCAGAAGTTGCCATGAGTCAAGATCATGCCACTGCACTCCAGCCTGGGTGACACAGCAAGACTCTGCCTCAGGGAAAAAAAAAAATGTCATAAAACTTGCTTCTTTAAGGGAATTCATGGAAAGGACTGATGGGTGCTCTTAAATGGAGGTTTCAGATAACCTTGGTGACTATGTCATTGTACTAAAGAACAAAAAAACTTCCAGGACTCTCATTAAAGAACTAATGTATTCATGAGGATTGCTGGCTCAATATCAAGCAGGACAGGGGTTAACTGCATGGACTGAACTAATGGAAGGCTGAAATAATTTTTCAGTGATTTTTTTTGTTTGAAACATTGCTGATTCTTTTTTTTAAAATCAGAATCAAGAAAACTTTTTTCTTTTGAGCTATTTACAGCTTTTAACAATTGAGTAAAATATATTCTTATAAGCAAAATTTGAAGCATATTTCTTTCTCCCTGATTTCTAAAAAAATTTGGAAGCTATCTGTGAATATTCTTAATTTGTGGCAATGCAGTTATTTGGATAAATTAAATGAGAATCTGGTTTTTTTATAACAGGACATAAACTAGTCACCTCCTTGTTCACCCTTCCCCCCTTTTCCCTTCCTTCCTCTGCTGCTTGCTATTTTTCCTTTAAATATTGAAGTGTTCAAGACTCTCTTTGGAAAAAGCACAGGCCACAGATCCTACTGTGACTTGTGTCTTTTTTTTTCCCTTGTGTGTCCTCAACATTTGCAAAATAAAGTTCTAAATTGATTGAGGTCTTTCTCAGACACTCTTTGGTTTATCATAACCAAGGGACTTAATATTTCACATTTTGCTTATTAGTTTGCATTTCCTTAGTTTGCAGTTCCATTGGCCCAACTCTCTAGGAGTTGAATTCGTCTCTAAATTCCACTGGTAACTTTTATATTTAGTAACTGAATGCAGCATAGCAGCTCTATGCTGTGGGTGATCACGTGGGCACCTGGGAATCAAAGGTTCCTCATTTCTCGCCTGTTTATCCTTTTCCTTTTTATGCATTAACTTTTATCTACATAATTTATTTCCTTCATTTTGAAACATTTAACCTCTAAATTACACAAAATTAGTTCTCCTTTACCAAAACTGTATCATCATGTCTTTTTAAAATACACTTCCTGACCAAAACCACATATTTCTTTATACACTCTGTATATAGAGTTATTTTTCTTGTATCTAGTAGGTTTTTTTTTTTATTTTTATTTAAATTTTTAAGACAGGGTCTCCCTCTGTCACCCAGACTGGAGTGCAGTGATGCAATCATGGCTCACTGCAACCTCAATCTCCCAGACTTAAGCAATCCTTCCACCTCAGCCTCTTGAGTAGCTGGGACTACAGGCATGTGCCACCATACCCAGCTAACAGTAGTTCTTAATTACACATACTAACAACTATTCTAACTCTTAGTAACCCTAATTTCAGTAAAAAACCTACGATTACTTAATTTAACATAACATGACTTTAAGATTTTAAATTATTGAAGAGAATTTTGAAATTGAAACCACTATTATGAAATTTTAAAAGGCCACAAGATTAAAATTATGGTAGGGGGCTGAATTTTGTTAAGATATTTATCTTTCTCTCAGATCTTTTCCTCCTCCAGGCATGATTGCTTGCACACAGTCATTTCAGTAGACACTAATAATGTATTACCTCCTTGTCTTAGCCCCCAGGCAGGCTGCCCACAAGATTAATGAAGTTTTTCTTCAAAGAATATGATCTTCAGATTATGCAGATCCTCCCTACGGCTTCCAGAAGTTGAACTGACCAAGGGAGAAGGCTGAGCAGCTTTGACCAGCAGGGATTTCACCTCATGCAAACTTTTCTACTAAGCTACAGCCATGGTTAAATAATAACCTGCCATTGTTTCCCAGCTTGCTTTCCATAGTAACCAGCAGTCACTAACATTACTGTGAAACCCAAGACTGGTCTTTGAGATATTTTTCAGACTTTGCCTCTAACAGTCTGGACCAACTGATGCCAACTGTACCTGTGGCCCATGAGGGTAACTAAGGAACTGACTTGACTTGTATTGTGACTTCACCATGACCCAATAACTGATTGAGCACATGAAGTCACCTCCAACACCCTGTGGTTTCGTGCCAGACCAATTATCAACACCCATCCCTTAAGCCCCTTCCCACCAAATTATCCTTAAAACCCTAGCCTCTGAATTCTCAGGGAGGCAGCTTTGAGAAATCTCCCATTCTCCTTCCTCAGTTCCCTTGTGATAATTAAAGTCTTTCTCTACTACCACACTTGTTGTCTCAGTGTTTGGCTCTATCTGGGCAGTGGGCAAGAACCTGGTCAAATGGTAACAAAACTAGTTTTATTTATCAATGATTACTAAAGTCATGTGAACTAAAAATCATTTGAGTCTAGTGGCTAACATCATTTGGCCCCTTGCAGGTTCACTGAAAAATCACTGACATGAGGTAGATGAATGGGAGAAAAGGCATATAAATTTATTTAACATGTATACATAGGACCCTTCAGAATGAAGGCCCAACTCCCCAGTGAGTTTTACAAGCTTATATACCATCCTGGCAAAAACAAGTTATGGAAGGGGAGAGAAAAGAAATGCCGTTGAGAGGATTACTAGGGAGAATGACTTACTTGTAAATAGTTCTCTTTGACAGTGAAAAGATCTGTTCGGGTGTGGTTACATTCTTGGTCTTACAGGGAGAGAAGAAAAAAAAAATTTTTTTACCATCATGCTTTATGTCCATGTAAAGAAAAAACATTTTTTTCCTCTGCTGGGTCTGGACTTTAGGTAGATAAAGGAACTTCAGCTCCTTTGAGAGAGACAGTGGGTGGTGGGGAGGTCAGAGAGGCCTTGATCAAGGCTTCCTCAGTTCAGCATGGCAATGCACCATATTTTGGGTATTTGTTTCTGAGTCTCAACATGAGCTAGCTTTTATTTTTCTGACAAAGTATTTTATTTAAGCACTTACTTTTCTATAAGCCAGCTGATTAAAGCTCTTTCATATATTTTGATAGTGTAATTGCTCACACAAGTGACATATACATATAGATATAAAGACACAGAAGCAGATCTTATAAATTTATAAGATTTTTCACTCACCAATTTTCAAACAGTTTCTCTCCCACTTTTAGACTATCAATCATTCTTAAAGACATGACTCAGGTGAAACAAGGTAGAAAATGTATGTATCAAAGACCCAGAACTTAGACTTAAACACCAATATATGAAGACAAGATTTTGAGGGAAAGTGTCTTTTCAACTTAGCTTGTTTCTTAATTAGATTACTGACTTGAAGTTGGAGCCCTTTTAATGAATAGGACAAAGAAAGCAAGCAGTTTTTAGGGCCTAAACCTTGCTTTCCTCAAATGCGCAAAGAAATGAGTAGGCCCCTGTAGTAATAACCAGTTCCTATAAGGAACTGTCTCTCAGCTACCTCTAATGCTATAACTCTCACCTGTGACTCACCAGTCATTACACGTGGCAAGATCAAATCCTCAAACTTACAAAGTAATTTCTTCTATCCTCAAAATCCAAAGAGATCAAGTAATGCAATACAAAAGAGAACAGGATTTTATAGCTGAGAGGAATCTGTCTGCTTACAATTCTTGGGGTTCTATAAGAAAAAACAGGTTCAACCCCAAAAAGAAGTCTTTGATACCTTTTCTGTTTTCCTTAAGTGATCCCAGATTGTTAGGAATCCTTTTGGGATCTACTCATGTGGCATCAAGGATGGCAAAAAGGAGGGACAGAGAGAAGTAAATGGACAAACACTAAGAAATCAGTCAACTGAGTTGTTTTACAGAGCGAGGGCAGAAGCCTTAAAACAATACATATGCATACATACATAGCCCAAATATCAGGTTTAACCAATTTGACTATAGAGTCCTTGACTTTTCACTATAGAGGTCTTTTAAAAAATATCTTTCCTAATGGTAATTCCTCCTCAAGCTGTTTTATTTTGCTTCTGCTGCTGAGAGAGGAGGAAAGAAGAAACTGGTCAGGCAGACAAGGTGGCTCCTTGGTAAAACTCCTTCAAAGAACAGCCTGAAAATCACTACAGGCCCCACATCCTTGAACGGAAATGTCTACTCTGTGAATCAAGATGAACAAATTCCATTCCTTTTTTGGCTCTGACTTTTCATCTATTTTACATATGCCTACCTTTCTGTGATTGGTCACAGCCTAAGTCTTCATTTACATAGGGTGAATCATCACTTCAGCCCGATTGGTCCTGGGCCACACCTTCACCTCTACCTCCAATTGGTTCTCCAAGAGAGTCTACAGACCAGTCCGTACATTCCTCCCCTTTCCAGTCCATAAAAACCTGGGACTCAGTCTCATAGCTGGCAACCCTGTCAGGCCCCATTCTCCGTTGTGGAGAGCTTTCTTCTTTGGTTTTTTAAACTTTCACTCCAACTTCACCCTTGGTGTCCATGCTCCTTAATTTTATTGGTCATGAGACAAAGAACGCCGGGTAATACCTCAGACAAAAAGACGGCAACACTGCTAGGTGGGCTCCATCACCAAACAGGCAGCCTATAGAAGCAGACATTTTACCGCAGTGGCTACTCACCACCCTTCCTTACAGCAGTATGATAGATGGTTATCAGTTAACAATTGCTCTAAACCCATCAGTGTTTTCAGGGCATCCTCATTCTCATGCAGTGGTCCACAAATGTCTAAAAGGTGATCCACACCACTCCACGTGGAGTGGCTGGCCATCGTGGGATTTCCCTCATGGATGCTTCATACCTTTTTCCTATTTATTGATCTCTCAGCTTCTGGCCTGGCTCACCACATGTTCCATGGTGGGCAGGTCTATATAAAACTGCCCCCAATAGTCTAAGGACATTGAGAGGCTGAAGAAAAAGGTTTAACATATCCATTTTTTCAGAAACAAACATTTAATAGGAACTTAGGAAAAGAAGTCATGTCTGGTAACCTCAGGCAGCAGCAAGACAAGATGGTGGGCCCCTGTACCATTACCCCCCATACCGTTAGGTTATATATCACAGGCAAAGGGTATATGTGATTCAAAAGGGATATGTAGGCACAATTGCTTAAGGGCAGGACTTATGGTAAGTACAATGATATCAAGATTCTTTTGACCTAATGGCAGGATTTATGGTAAATACATGCTGTTACACAAGGAGTAACAGATAAAATAGAAATCTCAGAGGCATTCCAGGGAAGGGGTTTAATCAGAAGTCAACAAGGCAGATTAAGCACCCAAGATGAAGTTGCTTTTCCCTCCACACTCAATTTCTTTAATGTAAAAGAAAAAGAAGAAAATGTTTAGCAAACTAGGATTAGAAGGGAATTATCTCAACTAGATGAATTTGATAAAGAGCATCTACAACAATATCCTACAGCTAACATTAGACTCAATGACAAAAGACCGAATGCTTTTCCTCTATGATCCTGAACAAGGAAGGGATGTTCTCTTTACTATCTTTCATCTTTTTTCTTTTTGAGATGGGGTATCACTCTATTGCCCAGGCTGGAGTGCAGTGGTAAAAACACCAAACACTGTAGCCTCGACTGTTGCTGGAATCAGGAGACTGGAGAGACAGAAAGGTGGAAGAAGAGGACTTTTTTGAGTGCACTCAGACACAGCACATTAACATCCAAAAATTGGACCCAGAACAAAGACAGCACTTGACTTTTACACACACTTCTAAAAGGGGGTGGGCTAGCTTGAAACAAGCTTACAGAGGCATGAAGCACAGTGGCACGAAAGCAAGGATACAGAGGCAGAACAAAGGCAGTTAATCAAATTGTGACAGGTGTGTAAGGATTACATGTGACTCTTGCTATGTGGCCCAGACGGCTGTTATCTAGGCTTCCTCTAGTGCCTTGCACGGGCTTATCTCATAACGTTCACTATGGCACCTAGATGGCTGCAGCCCAGGCCTGCTCAGGCGTGTCTTATAACCTTCACTGCACTGCTCAGATAAAAACAGCATACCTGAAGTTATTAGTTACAAAAAACAGGAATCTATAACATTATAAAACTTGCGGAGCAAGGTACAATCACATGGAGGGGGGTAGGATTCAAGGGGGGAAGTTTCCTTATACTAAATGAGACAGGAAAATGTATTTTTCTTATGCCTATGTTGAGAGAGTGCTGAGTCTCCAGATCACATTCTTTTGAGCTCTGGCTTCTTAGATAATGTTATTGAGACTTCACCTGGGTCCAGGCTTCGTCTGTTACTGCCTTTAGGATGAGTCAGCCTACTATAGAAAGCTTGTTTTTCTCTTTTTTAATTTTTTCTTTCTTTCTTTAATTTCCTGCCTCATGACCTCCTGGACTCAAGCAATTCTTCTGTCTCAGCCTCCCAAGTAGCTGGGACCACAGGGATGCACTAACACACCTGGCTAGCTTTTTTAATTTTTCTTTTTTGTAGAGATGGGGTCTTGCCTCAATATAGTACTGGAAGTTGTAACTACTGTAACAAATCAAGAAAAATAAATAAGGCATAAAGTTTGAAGTGCAGAAAATAAAACTATTTCCAGATGATGTAATTATCTACATAGAAAATCTCCAGGAATCCTTAAAAATTTCCTAGAAGTAATAAATGAATTTAGCAAGGTCACAAACAAAAATCAATCGCATTTCTATCTACTAACAATGGACAGGCAGAATCAAAATAAAAAAAAAAAAACTGTTATTATAACAGGTATATTGCAAGATGCACACAGCAAGTCAATACACAAAGACACCAGGTGGCTTCTGAGAAAGTGGTTTAACCCTAGGGCTGCCAAATGAGAAGATGAGAGGAAATCTCAAATTCATCTCCCTGGGGAGTGTGGGAATAGGGTTCTTAAGGGTTTTGGGGTGGGACAAAGTGTGGAGATCTAAGAGTGTAGGGTGAGGTCATGGGACAGAAAGATGAAGAAACTGTGTTTTCATGCTGATTAGGTTCCTCTGTGGGGGTCTTCAACTGGGGTCGGAAATCCTATCTGTAGGAACAATGGGGATGCAAATGGTCAGTGTCTTGGTAATCCTGGCCGGGGTGCAGTGGCTCACGCCTATAATCCCAGCACTTTTGGAGGCCGAGATGGGCGGATCACGAGGTCAGAAGTTTGAGACCAGCCTGGCCAACATGGTAAAACCCTGTCTCCACTAAAATTACAAAAACTAGCCAGGCATGGTGGCGCATGCCTGTAATCCCAGCTACTCAGGAGGCTGAGGCAGGAGAATCACTTGAACACAGGAGGCGGAGGTTACAGCAAGTCGAGATAGCAATACTGCACTCCAGCCTGGGCAACAGTACGAGACTCCATCTCAGAAAAAAAAAAAAAGAATTCTTGGTAATCCTGTGAGGATGGCTTCAAAGCCATTTACAAAAGCTCCAAACAAAATAAAATATTTAAGTATAAGCTTAACAAAACATTTTAACTATGCTGAAAAGTACAAAACGGTAATGAAAGGAATTAAAGAAAACCAAAATTAAATGGAAGGACACACTGTGCTCATAGATTGGAAGACAATGTATTAAAGATTTCAATTCTCCCTAAGTTAATCTATAGTTTTAATGCAATGCCTATCAAAATATGAGCAAGAATTTTTGCAGACATAAACAACCTTTATTCTAAAATATGCATGGAAAGCCACATGCACTAAAATAGCTAAAACGATCTTGACAATGAAGAATAAAGTGGGAAGAATTACTCTGTTTGATTTTAAGGCTTATTTCATTGCTGTGGTAGTCAACCCAGTGTGGTACCGGCAAAGGAACAGACACATAGATCAATGGAATGGAAGAGAGATCCACAGAATAGAAACACATCCACACCAATATACTCAACTGGTTTTTGACAAAGCTTCAAACACAACTGAGTAGAAGAACGATGGTCTTTTCACCAATTGGTGCTGGAGCAATTGGATACCTATCAGGAGAAAAAAAAAATGGACCTCAATCTAATCTTCACATCTTATACAAGAATTGATTTGAAAATAATCAAAGACTTAAATGTAAAATGTAAAACTGTAATAATTTTAGCAAAACTAGGTAAAAATCTTTAGCATCTAGGGCTAGTGATATAATTCTTAGCCCTAACATGGAAAACACACGTCAAAAATGCAAAAATTGATAAATTTGACCTTATCAAAATTTAAAACTTTGCTCTGTGAAAGCTCATGTGAAGAGAATTAAAAGGCAAGTTACAGATGGGGGAAATATTTTAAAATCACATATCTGACAAAGGACTAATATCTAAAATATATAAAGAACTCTCAAGACACAACAATGAGTCAAACAATCCAATTGATGCAGAATTTTTGTTCCTTAGTTCAGCTAAAACTGTGTTCTTGTCATATGACCAGAAAAGATTAGGCACATGGACACATTGAAAGGTGAGGGGAGCAGAATGTATTGGGCAAAAAGGAAAAAAGGAAAAAAAAATACTCAGCAAAGTGAGAAGGAGTCTTGCTAACAGGTTCCTACCTCACAGATTGGATACCAGGCCACCATACATGAGCTGAAGAGGCCAGGTTCCTCCCCACTGCACAGGGCACAAACTTCCTGTGGCTCCACCCCATCTTCCCGGTGCACAGGCGAGTACACAGACCATTGCGGGCATGTCCAGACAAAACCCTGGGCAGGTTCCCTCATCTGCACAAAAGCATCTGGTGTAAACACTTGTGGGGCAGGTGGGAGGGTCTCCCAGGACCTCCCTTATCTGTCTCCTGCATCTGTCACAACTAGAAATGGCCAAACATATGAAGAGACATTTCACCAGAGGTGATACACAGATGAAAATATCTTCAACATCATTAGCCAACAGGGGAATGCAAATAGATATCACTATACATCTATCTGAATGGCTAAAATTTCAAAAGGGACAACATCAAATTTTGACAAAGACGTGCAGAAACTGCATTACTTATACATTGCTGGTGGAATGTAAAATGATGTAGCCACTCTGAAAAAATGTTTGGAATTTTCTTACAAAAATAAACATGTAATTACCATATAACCCAGCAAATGTACTCTTGGGCATTTATCCCAGAGAAATAAAAACTTAGGTTCACATTAAAAACTTGTACATGAACGTTATTTCATAACAATTTTTTTGAGACAGAGTCACGCTGGAATGCAGTGGTGTGATCTCAGCTCACTGCAACCTCCACGTCCCGGGTTCAAGCAATTATTGTGCCTCAGCCTCCCAAGTAGCTGGGACTACAGACGTGTGCCACCACATACAGCTAATTTTTGTATTTTCACTAGAGATGGGGTTTCACCATGTTGGCCAGGCTGGTCTCAAACCCCTGGACTCAAGTGATCCACTGATCTTGGCCTCCCAAAGGATTACAGGTGTGAGCCACTGCACCCGGCCTGCAATTTTAAAATAATAGCTGAAAACTGGAACTAACTAGCCCAGATATCTTCAACAGCTGCTACTCATTCTCTGTTGGTCTCTGGTCTCTGTAGATAGATAAAACTAGTTTTTTAAAAAGCATTTCTCAATTCATTGCACATGACATGTGCACTGGATTACAACCATCTGTCCATCAAAGTCTTCGTTGCCTCGCCAAACGAAAATGAAGCTAGATCCACTTATGAAAAAGGTACCAGGCAGGAATAACTTTGGCAGAGAAGAGTGTTTTGTTTTACAAGTTCTTAGAGACAGACTGCAATTTTTCAACCACATAGAAATGATCCAGTTCTCCTCTAGTGTTCTGCTGACACCAAGCAATGGATGGAAGTGTCTTTTATTTAAAGTCATGATCCCAGGGAGGTTATCTGTACTCTGTGTGTGCTACTACCGGAAGACACAAAAAGCTGGGGTGATACTTCAGCTAAAAGTCAAGTGCTCGCCAGGTGTGGTGGCTCATGCCTGCAATCCCAGCACTTTGGGGAGGCTGAGGTGGGCAGATCACCTGAGGTCAGGAGTTCGAGACCAGCCTGGCCAACATGGTGAAACCCCATCTTTACTAAAAATACAAAAATTTGCTGGGCATGGTGGCTCACACCTGTAATCCCAGCTACTTGAGAGGCTGAGGCAGAAGAATCGCTTGAACCCAGGAGGCAGAGGTTGCAGTAAGCCGAGATTGCGTCACTGCACTCCAGCCTGGGCAACAAGAGCGAAACTCCTCTCAAAAAAAAAAAAAAGGCCGGGCGCGGTGGCTCAAGCCTGTAATCCCAGCACTTTGGGAGGCCGAGACGGGCGGATCACGAGGTTAGGAGATCGAGATCATCCTGGCTAACAGTGAAACCCCGTCTCTACTAAAAAATACAAAAAACTAGCCGGGGGAGGTGGCGGGCGTCTGTAGTCCCAGCTACTCGGGAGGCTGAGGCAGGAGAATGGCGTAAAACCCGGGAGGCGGAGCTTGCAGTGAGCTGAGATCTGGCCACTGCACTTCAGCCTGGGGGACAGAGCGAGACTCCGTCTCAGAAAAAAATAAAATAAAATAAAAAAAATAAAAAAAATAAATAAAAAAATAAAAATAAAAATAAAAAAATAAGTGTCAGCATAAACAATATACTGACTATATATGTAATTATATGTAATAATAAATGTATAGTATATCAATAGATTAATACATTGTATATCAACGTTTTTATATCATTCTATTCTATTTATATTATATAATACATATAATTATATACGTTTATGATTTATATTATACATATTATTGTATAATATATAATATTCTATTGCACAATATTATATATTATATATACAACGTATTCACAACATAGATTGGTCACACTGTAATTAAATACATAACAGTGAGTGATATAGGAAGGACCTGGCATTAATAGCTGGGAGGTTTACTGTTTAGTCAGGTTTTTTGAGCCCCTCCCTTTTACTATGTACTATAGGAACTATCATTTCTGCTTTGGGGTTATAGTCAAGTTGGAATTCCACCAGGTTTGGGTAATCAAACTACAAAAAACTGATTTAAAAAACAGACTGCTAATTTAAACAATTTAAGAAAGGGTATGATTTCATTTGTTCTTTTTGACCTTTTTATTTTGTATGAAGAAGCTCTACAAACAGAGAATCCTTCCCAAATTATCAGTTGTGTTCATTGTATTAAAAACCCACATTGTTATTAATCCTTTGTGGCTATTAAGTAGTAACAGTTAAACAAATGAAATAAATATACACTTGTTTTTATAATAGTTCTTTTACCAGGAATTTTTTTTTTGTGGTGAGAAGCCACAAGGATCTGCTAGTTCAGAGACTTTTCAATCAGCAGACAAAAGAAGCCATCGGTGAACTTCTAGATGACAACCTTAAATCCATGAAACAAAGCAAAGGAAATGGGCCTATACTAAGACAGAGGCATGGCAATCCTTAAGAATTTTGATAAAGAGCAGCTAAAAGTAATAGGACTAGCAAATATATATTTTTGATGAATCAAATCACATTTCTTGACCTGAACAGTTTATATTAGGTTTCCTGTAAAGGATAGTTCAACTCTCCAAACAGAAAATAAGCACATCCCATTGGAAGGAGAAATACAGTACTGATGATTGAGTTAGGACTGGTCACTTGATCCTTCTACGAGCGTTTTTAAAAAACCATATACAAATTAATTTAAACACTTTTTTTTTGGCCGGGTGCGGTGGCTCATGCCTGTAATCCCAGCACTTTGGGAGGCTGGGGCAGGCAGATCACCTGAGGTCAGGAGTTCGAGACCAGCCTGGCCAACATGGTGAAACCCCATCTCTACTAAAAATACAAAAATTAGCTGGGCGTGGTGGTAGGCACCTGTAATCCCAGCTACTCAGGAGGCTGAGGCAGGAGAATCACTTGAATCCGGGAAGTGGAGGTTGCAGTGAGCCAAGATTGTGCCATTGCACTCCAACCTGGGGGACAAGAGTGAGACTTCATCTCAAAAAAAAAAAAAAAAAAAAAAGGTAAACATTTTTTTCATCTACTACTTCAGAAAAATTGTAGTAAAATTGAGTGATATAAGACTTATAAGTGACTTTAATATCCCTTGTCTAAAGACAAAGTATTATTAACTATGTGAAAGTTAGGACTGTGAATATTAAATGCTATGTGAATAGCAAATGTGAATATTAAACTTTGTGCAAAACAGCAAAACATGAAGAGAGTCTATTTCTCATAGTATGTCAAGTATAAAAACATATGTCACTGAAACAATTTTACCTTTCAAAAACAAAGGTAGATCAAAAAGCTGAAATAGCGAGAGAGTGTTTTTCTCAAACTTCAGTACACACAGGAATCACGAGGAGCTCTCTCTAAAATGCAGATTTTGACTCAGTATTTCTGGGGCGATTTCTTTTAACTAGCTCCTAGGCGATGCCAGATGCTGCTGGTCCAGGGACCACACTTAAGTAGCAAGAATCTCAGACATCTATTATTCAACCAATTAAGTGATTTCATATGTTATACTCTTTGATACAGTGACATTCAGTGAAACTACATCATTCAGCTAGACCTATTAGTCTCCCAAAGTACAAAGATAAATTTGACAGCTTTTAAATGTTAATGGAAAAATGTTAAGAAATGGACATATGAACTGAAAATACTTCAGGGTTTCTATAAAACTTCTGGAAAACTCAAGTTTATTACCTCATATACACAAAATCTTTAGAATAACAATGAAGAAAAAACTTTATTTCAAAAAATATAATTTAGATTTAAAAAATTAAATTGAAATTGAGAGCACTATAGGATCAATAAAGTACTAACAGTCAAAAATAATTAAAAGGGATTGTGAAAATAAATTCTCTTCAAAACTCTATGACAGGTTTTAAACAGGTGAGCTGCCACTACATAATATGGAAAAGATGTCATTCAGCAGGCAGGCTCACTCACTAGGCACTCCAGCTGAGGGATAGAAGACCCATAAAAACTCTTGTGGTAGCCAATAAGTAAAGTAATGTGCAGACTCTGTGGTGGGGATA